GGGTGAGAGGAGAAAGGAGTTTCTGCTTGGGGCTGCGCCCGCAGCTCCCGGAGGTCCTTCATGCAGCCTGGGGCGTCCCGGCTGCAGCCCGACCCTACCTGTGCTGAGCGGGGTCAGTAATTTCTCTGTACTGCTTCCCCAGGCTGGCTTTCAGGGAGAAATAAAGATGTCGCTGAAACCATTTAGCTACCCGTTGCCTGAAACAAGGTTTCTTCATGCCGGCGGGGTTGTCTACAAGTTTAAAATGCGGTATGGCAACTTCACCAGGTAAGCGTGTTAGAGCTGCAGCCTCGGCCTGCAGCTGGATGGCTGCGTGTAGCAGTGAGCTCATATGTGACCCCAAATTCAGATCCTGGGGGCTCCTCGTTTCCCACCGCCTTTCCCTGGCTGTAAAAGCTGTCACCTAAAAGTTGCTGCTACACCTGCAGAGGCTGAGGATGGGCCTGAGAGAGACGCTTGCGTTGTAGGAAACGCTGGGCTTTCACTGCCTTGTGTGGATTTCATCCTTCAGTGGGAGAAGAGGCTGGTTTTACTGACAGTATTTTGACATTTTCTAAGTGTTTCACTAAGAAGCTCTATAGCCCTTCCAGTAGTTTAAGCCCAGGTGGCACTGAAGGCTCACACAGCTGCTCACTCCCTGCCCCGCAGTGGGGTGGGATAGAGTTGAAAGAAAAATGGTGTGTCGGGATAAAGGCAGTTTAATAACTAAAGCGAAAGCCCCGTGTGCAAGCAGAGCAAACTCAGGAATTCATCCACTGCTTCCCTTCGGCGTGCAGGTGTTTGGTCTCCAGGAAAGCTGGGCTCCATCACATCCAATGGTTACCTGGGAAGACAAAAGCTGTAAGGTGGAACATTCCCCCTTCTTGCTTCCTCCCCCAGTGTCACTGCTGAGCGTGGTGTCCTGTGGTCTGGAATATCCCTTGGGATAGTTGGTTGGGATGAGCTGTCCCAGCCGTGTCCCCCTCAATGCCTTGTCCACCTGCAGCTGGCTCGCTGGGGGGGGAGTGTGAGGAGCAGAAAAATCCTGGAGCTCTGTATAAGCATTGCTCAACAAGAGCTAAACCATAAAGCCGTTTATTGATAGCTAGCAGCAGACAGCTTTTGAGCAGCTGGCTCACCAGGGGGGTGTTAGCCTGTGGGGGCCCCGGTGCTGGGAAGGGCCGTTCCCCCGCGGGCAGCACCATGCAGGGGATCAAGAGACGTGTCCTGCTGGCTCCTTCCTTCAGTCCCTTGAGCAGCGTGGAGTCAGGACAGGCTGGAGGACAGAGGTGCTGGTTGGAGGGCCCCTTGTCCAACAGATCTGCTCTCCCATCTGCTGTCTCCTCAGAGACACAAAATACAAACGACAGAAAATTCACCAGGAACAGCCATTGTGGAACAATGAATATTTTTTACAAACTATAGATTAGGAATTTATCTGCCTGCCAAGTATTTTATTCTGGGCAGTGGGAAGTGTGGTCTGGTGTTGTTTAAACTCTTTCAGTGAAGGTAGCTCTGCTGCTTTCGGGCTGGGGGGAGACTAACTCTCTCTGCTTGTTTCTCAGTGCCCCTGATCTCAGCAGCCCCAACAGCACTGCCGAGGAGTTGGAGGTAGGAGATGGAGCTGCTCCATGGGACCTTAGCTCAGCGTTGGGCTGAGCAAATCTTTTGTTCATTACGGGACCAAGGACGATTTGTCAGATGCAATATTTCAAGGGCGAGTAACAGGGAACTTCTCTGGAGAGTGCAAGAAAAAGGTGAAAAAAAAATGTCAATTAAAAATGTCATCAACAGGCACCATGAGCGTAGCAGAGCAGTGCAATTATTTGCAGTGTTGCTGAGAAGCTACTGACTGCTAAAACTGGTCAAAGGAAAACTCCTGTTTGCCTCCAGTTCCTTTCTGGTTCCTGTTCATAGTATTTCAGCAGTAGCACTTTCCCCTGGTTTCACTCTCTGCCACAGACCTGAGCAGTCCTTTGAACTTCTCTGGCTTGACCAGCTGCCAGCCCCTCCTGTTTTGTCAGGAACTGTGACAGCAGTGGTGATCTTGTGTGACAGAGGCTAATCTGATGCTTGGTTGCACGTGAATTCCTCATGGCTGTGGAGCTGGTGGAACCAGGGGATGCTGGCCATTACTTTCTGGCCAAGCTTGGTCACAGCCAATGAGTTCTGTGGCTGACATGTTCTTCCTGAGATGGAAGAAAGCCCGTGCCATTCCTGAGGAAATGAAACAGTGCCTGCTTAAAAGTGCTGCTCTTAATCAGTTGTAGAAAATCTTCAGAGCACAGCAATAACATTATAAATGTTATTGAAGAAAATGCGCTGATTTGAATTAATACAGAAAATTATTAATTGTATACTTTTTTCCCACTTTTGAAAATACAGAAAGGTGTTACTGGAAGTTGTTGTCTGTTCATAAATCAGGAGTTTGTTGGGGTTGAATTTCAGATCCTTTGTAACTGAATTGGGTCAATATTCAGAAGACATTTTAAACTTTCCCAAGCCTTGAAACTGTACTTCACTGTGGAATTCTGGCTGTATTGTCAGTGTTCTTTCTTCCTCTCTCTTTTTGGCCTCTGCAGGAAGCAATTCGAGTAATCCTTGGAAACCTTGATGATTTACATCCATTTTCTACAGACCACTTCACCATCTTTCCCTGTATCCTTTCCCTCTGGCTCATGAAAGAAAAGGTTGAGGGACCTCTGCCTGCTGGGCATGGCTCAGTCTGACACTCAGGCCTGGTGCAGGGGCAGGAGTGTCTGTAGCTGTGGGGGTTGTCCTGGCTGTTCTCCTGATTCCTCCTGTTCTGAATGGTGAAGCAAATGTAACGATGCTTCTCCTGTGTGTCCTCATCCTTTTCAGCTTTTAACATCATTTTTAGAAGAGTTACTTTCTAGTTGGGACAGCTGGTTTTGTTCATAGGGCAGGGAGAGGCTGGCATGTTGTTTCTTGGGGGAGGCTGTCAGGAGTGGAGCCCAATAGAGTGCAGGAAGCAGCACGCTGTGACTGCAGCTGCTCGATGGGACAGTGTCACCTGGGTGAGTGTGTCTGGCCAGGTGTTCCTAGTGCTTTTTTCACAAAGTGCCTACCACCGGATTTTATTTGCTCCCTTACACACGTGCACCACGTGGTTTGACTTTTGAGGCTTTACAAGGAGCCACCAGGACTCGTGCTCCTCTGAAATGTTCCTGCTGTGTCCTTAAGTCTTATCGCCCTCCTCAGATCTGAGTAAATGGGAGAGAGTGTCGAAGATGAGCTTCAAACATGAGAATGTCTCTCTTGTCCCTTACCCCTACATTTGCACTGTGTATCTAGAACTGAACTCGTTTCAGCAAAGCTTCTCTGGTGGTAAGTCACTGTGGCTTGGTTGGGGTCACTTCTGGCTGTACCTGTGGTCAGTGTCTTGCTTTTTCCCTTTGCCTTCATCTGCTGCGTCCCTGGGATCAGAGCTGCGTGCAGTGGGGCTGCGCTGTGGGCTGGAGACAGCAGGACAGTGTGTGCTCTCTTGTCCTGCACTGCTTCTCTAGAATCCCCTGCATGTCTCTTTGTCTTGTCCACCTCTGCTGACTCTTCAGCTGGTATTTTGATGAAGCAGTGCCCCGTGGCTCCCAGCCTTTGTTCTTTAAGGGCAGTAGCTGGGCTGGAGCCACCAGGAGGGTATGGAACGCACGGTTTTCTTCCTGGTGCTTGACCACTCCTGTGGGGGTTCATCTTCATGCTCTTTGTTTCTCTTTTCCTAAAGAAATAGTGTATTGGTTTTTCTAAATAATGACAGGAATAATGGTAATAATGTCTTTTGTATAATGAGGAAATGTTGTCCCCTCCCTGGTGTCTCATTTCCCAGGTTTTCTCTGGATTCCCTGAAGAGCCTCAGGCCCCAACAGAGACTTCTGTGGGACTCTGCCTTTAACCTCCTGTCTTGTGAAAACTTGAGCGTCTCTTCTCACTGTCTCCTGTTCTGATGACTGGCCCCTGGAGCTGCTGGGGTTTTTGTGGCTGCTTAGTAGATCCCCTGGTGTCCTTTATAAAGTGGACAGGAAGTCATTCCTTAGCCTCGCCCATTTGCTTGCATGTAGCATCTCCTGTCAAATATGCCATGTTTGGGTGTAAAAACTTGTAAACGTGGGGAATTCACTCACTTCCCTGTACACCTGGCTCCAGTGTTCCATTGCTCTCTTCAACTATGTGTGTGATGTTTCTGTTCCACATTTCTGCACAGCATAACGTGCTGATACTTTCAGGCACTGATGTTTCCAGTTTCTGTTGGCAGGGATTTTTCCTCAGGAGAACATGTATGGATCCCCTGCCTCAGAGTCTGGGTATCCTGTATTCATTCTGTGGAGGCCCTGCCCTAGCTGTCCTGGCATCTTCCATCTGGTGCCCAGAGCATGGGGTGATGCCAACACTTCTTCAGTTCCTTCTCTTCTGAAGACTCCGTCAACTTCTTTGAGACAAGCAATTGTCCCCATCCCATCACCATGTGGGGTTCAGAGCTGGGGATTCTCATTCTGAAAGAGCTGCATTTGCAGCTTTTCAGTTTCACCGTACCAGATGCAGGTCCAGCCTGGCTTCTCAGGGGTTTATCTCGTGCTCAGGGCGTGAGGTGCAATGCAAAAGTGGACTTTTCAGGTGGTTAAAGGAAGTCCAGTCACCCAGCTGTGTAATACCTCTCTTACAGGTAAAGGAGGAAACAAGGGCAGTGATGAGCTTGTAAGTTCTGTCTACATGATTTTGGGTTCCCCCCTTCCCCCCTTCCCCC